TATATATATATAGTTCCAATTTCAACGGCACAAAGGGTTTCTTTAGAACTTTTAATCGAAGGAAATATATCATTGCGGCGGCCGCTGTATTAAGCTCTTTTACTCATGATATATTTAGGTGCACAACTATGGTGGTCAGATAAACCTACAACAAACCCGGATGTCCTTGGTTCGAATCCTGCCGGCAGCCAACAAACATCTCTTTCACACCTTTCTCTCTTCAAATTACTTTTGATACTGCATTTTGATCTAAAAAAATGCACGTGCCGTTTCAAAGTTGGATTTTTAAATTCGCCTAATATTTCCTTTGGAGTTTCTTTGCTACATTTTTTACAGTGCATATATCCTTTTTTTTATAAGTTCTTAACATATAAAAACTTTGTAAGAGAAAATAACTTATGAAACTGTTAATGATAGTTGAATTTATTTGAATTTTAATTAACAAAATGGAACAAATAGCATCTGTAATAAAGCTTTCAACTTAGTTACCAACTTAGCACCAGCTTCAGCCACCATTTTTGTTTCATTATCTTCATTTTTGAAACCTTAAACATAACTTAATCACCTCCCAATGAGTTGAATCGGGTTCGAATCCGGAAGTTTCTCGAGATATTCCTCTCCATGTAATGCAAATGCGGGTTAGTTCCATCAAAAAGTTCTCCACGAAGGCAAATTTCTCCCAATACTTTCCTTGTCATCTGGATTGGGTTCAAAATTACAAAGTTACGGATTTCAACATTAGTTGTCGTAAACCTTAAAATTGGGTCGGTGATGAGGTTGTTCAATGATGGTTATACGGGATAGTCAGGTTGATAGGGCATTGGATTCGTGTTAGTGGAAACGGTAGTTCGAATCCAAATGGCCGAAGAATCCCCGTGCATTAAATGGGGACTGGTGCATGTTAAATCTGTCGGGGTAGCAAAGTCCTCCAAGTTTCCAATACAAATCAATGGTCAAACAAATCAATGGCCAATACAAATCAATTCTGGGGATACTGATCCAAGGTTTCCTCGAATAGAGTTCAAAATTGCAAGGCTACGGAGTTGAACAATGGTAGTCGTAAACTCAAATTTAGGTTAGCTGCTCGATGACTGTCTTAAAATTAAAATCTGTGTCTCTTAAAAAAAGCTTGTAATTAAACAAAGTATTTGTGATTATTATAGCAATGGATATCGGTTTAAATTTTGTTCCTAAGTATTATTTCATTTCTGTTTTGTATTTTTGTTTCTGAAATACGTATGACGATCCAAGTTTATAATAAAAAACATTTTTAATTTCAGGTACCTTTAAAATATTCAATTATATTTCCTAGATGCATTAAAACTACTTTCCTTATCTCTATGATTTAACATCGAGACATTCTAAGCTTATTATTCATTAATTGTTCACTCTCTTATTAAACACGGATACTAGTGTCAAACTACTATTTTATTCACTGCAAACTTAACTATTAAAATTAAAACTTTACACTTCTTACAATTTACAACCAAAATTAAAATAGTTGAATAATGGAATTAAATGTAATCAGAAATGCCTGACATTCAGAAGTCACCAGTTACACAGATTGACAGTGAGTTTTAATTAGATGACGGTCTGCATGATAATCGTGATGTCCCTCCAACTTTCTAGTGACAATGTCACATTCTTTGCCATCATGACATCAAGCAAGGTGACTCTACGCCATTGCTTTGAAGTTAAAGCTGTGCATATTTCAATTACTATATTTTCTAGATGCTTAATTTTATTAATGTATCTATTAACTAATGCAATTTATCAAAGCAGACGTTGTTCCATAAATAATATCAATTTGCAAAAATTAAATAGAATGTATTACTGTGCCTTAAACAGATTTTTATCGGGGGGAAAATATATATTTGTTATTCCTGAAAAAAAATCATCTAGTATTTCGATTTTACTTCTTGAAAGAGCGAAAAAAATTATGTATACCAGATGTTTCCTAAAAAGTCGACTGGCCTGTGTAAGGGTCAGAAAACTGACCTTGCATCAGAAAGGTTCTGGGTTAGAATCCTGGGAATGGATGTTCTTTCGTTCTCTGTATTATCTGCCCTTATTGTAGGAGCAACGTTGGCTCACTCAATATGGTGCCCCTGATAAAGTGGCATACAAATCTGTCCTTCTGATGCCCGTATTGATGAAAGGTCTTTCTCCAGGTGGGCAATGGAAAAAATGTTTCTTAAAAATTTATTTTTTGTTAAAATTATCCTTCTTACAGTGTCATTACTGACAACATACGAAAAAGTTTTCCCATATAATTTTACTAGATTTGCCAGTTTTAATCTTCGAATCAGTTAAAACTGACTATTTTCCATTTTATACTCAGCTAATTAAAGAGTTACAATTGACAATACACGGCCTTTTGATTTTGTAACTCAGAAAAATTAACTATTATCCGAACTTATAACCAAAACTTAATGTTATTTGCCTCGACTCTGTTCTAAATCTAAACAAACATTGATTGTGTAGAATGATTTTTCCCTTCATGTTCACAAACAAGCAGAGTTAGTTAAGTATCAGAATCGATCAAACATCTTTCCTGGCTTCTAAGATGAACAGAAGTTTAGGTGATTATTTACATGGAAAATGAAGCAATTAAGAGGTCCCGTCCATCACACGTCGTCCATTTACTATATGATAGTGCAGTAGAATGATACTTTATAAGTTCAAATATACTTAATTCCGCTTCGTTAGGACCACTGACCACCTGAAAACTTTATTCTAAGAAGCTATCGTGCAAAGGTGTTACCACTTAGTGAAGTTAAGTAAATAAATGTTTTTTTCGTCATAATTTAGGTCCTGCAATTTGTGTAATTGATAACCTGGATACGACATCATACATAGACATTACTAACCAACTGCAATCCTCAATACTGTTGATTTATTTCAGTCCCAATGGATAATTCAGCCCAGAGATCCAGGATAATGTGTCTTTCTGGCATTGTAAGGAATCGATTTGAAGTTCTGCATTAACAACCACAATCTTCAGATCAAACTTTTATTGGGTGTTTGTGAAAAGAAAGCATTTATATCACACATAAGCATTTAATAAAATAATAAGCATTTAATAAATTAATAAGTAAATACAAGCATTTGTATCACACTTTTGAAAAAAAGCGTTAGTCTAATTCCACAAATACCACACCAGCGTCTCATAAAGTTCACATCAAGAAGGTTCATTCTTGTGTTCAGAGCAAAAATAAATGTGTCTAAATATAATATCAAATCTTGCTCATAATAAAATGACAGCTCGGTGTATGAATTCGTTTGTATTACACTATATTTCTCAATGTGTCCGTTCTTTTGTAAGCGAAAAAAATGCATCTTGAATCTTTTTGTCCAATTTGATTTTTTCAGCTAAGGTAGAATTGAAACTAATAATAACAAAATTTTATTCCTTCGTAAACATTTATTTCTGTGTATCTCTCAAACTATTTAATTTAATGCTTTATACGTGATTTTCTATTTTATTTGAATATTTTTAAGTTGTAATCTGTATAAATGTATTTTAATAATATATTCTAGTCATTTTACTACATATTTCTCAAATATAAAATTATAATATCACAGAAAAATTATATATTTTTATTATATAATTTTAACTACGTATTAATACATTATAAAGTATATTGATAAAATTTTGAATTCATTGTTTTCTATCTCCATCATAAGGATAATGTTTCCTTTCATTAAATTCTTTGAAATTATTTTATTAACAGGTCAAATATTCTTAAGTCAACCAAGTTTTGGTTCTAAACATAATTACAGGTTAGAATTTTTTTAGAGAAAATAAAACGAATATTTTTTTACCAAGGATTTTTTTCAATAATCAGTAACAAAAAAGTTTTTTTTTTAAGACAGTAAGTTTTATAACTTCTTAACTAACAATACACCCAATTAGCCTATTGAAAGAACAACCAATGTCAAAACTAAAAACATATTGAGTATTTATTTTTCATAAATCTATAAGAATTATTAAAGTAACTATTAAGCGTTTATGACATCATTAGTCCTTCAATCCCAGAAAAATAAGTTCTTACTTTCACTTGAACATAAATTTTGGAACTATTTTTATCCGATTATGTAATCTTTAACATGATATTGGTTTTGGTACATTAAGCCGCAATTGTATACAACCTATCGAAAGACCCTCTCTCCCCTTGCAAAAAAGGAAACACAGCTTCTAAGCTAGCTCTTAAAACTTAAGATCTATTTTCCGTCGATAAGCGAAAGAAGAGTAAATGGAATTGAGCTGTTGGGAAATGTTCGACACATCTTGTCACTTTCGCTTACATAAAAATATCCCAGGTAATGCGCGAGAGCATAGAGAAATCCCACCCCAAAACGCTGACAGCGCCTCCACATCGAAAGCAAGGAACATGAATGGGAGAAGACATCTCATTTTACAATTTCACCGTCCACAACAGGTTAAACTAGTAGTAACTTCTTAGAAACTGAGCAGTTGCCGCTTTATATCATCGCTATTGCTAACGTAATCAAAATTACGGAGGCAAACAATTATTTCATAATTTTAAAAATTTCTGAAATACATTTCAAAATAGAATTTTTTTTTCGAAATTTATATATTTGGTATCGCATAAAGAATTAGAGCAAAAATATTCTGATTGGTGAGTATATATTAGTTACATATTTTTATTTGTGTTAACATATTCAACTTTAACATTAGATTTATTACAATAAATAATGCATTTCTTTTTTTACAGTTAGAGCCATTTTTATCAGTCTATTAAAGAATATTTCTACGAAGTTTTAGGTCATGTTACAGTTTTTATAGGAAATATTTTAAAACTAATTTTTTTAATTTTTCTACCCCGAACAAATCAATTAAACTCATTTGAAATTTAAATATGGTTTCGATATATTGTGTCTTATTATAAAATAATATTTTTAAAAAATAAGCTCAGTTTTTTATTCTTTTTCAGCAAACGATTTTTTAAATAACGCAATTTTATAATCGATTCCTAATTATCGATTTTAATCTTTTATTCTTTAATATAAGATTTACTGATATACTTCTACAGAGATTAGGCAGATTATACTGATTAAAGGGATTAAACCAATATATTAATACAGAGATTTGTGTAAGTTATTTTATAATTTGTGTTAAATCTAAAAAAAATCTATTATTTTGCTCAAACTTATTGTGACTTGCTTATTTTATACTCTTTACCGTAATTCTAAAGCTGAAACAAATGTCTATAAGCATAATATTTACTATATGTAAGATGATAGGAAAAACTTGAAAAATTTTGTGTTGTGGTTTTAATTTATAACTTAATTTTCTGTTAAACTTATCTGTCCTTTTTAACTATTAAAATAAATTCAAAAACACCATTTTTTAAGAATCATTGAGACAAAATGTCGTAATTCTTTTTCGCACCTTTAAATTTTAATTTTTAAGAACTTCAAAAGAAAAAATAAATTATTAATAAGTAATTAAAATGTACATATGCATATATCATTTTGTATTTTATCAATTGAAATTATAAATTATGCTTATTTTATTTGGTTATACATAACATATACCACATTATAATTCTAGAATAACATATTAGTCTTAAAATTTCTTGAAATAGAAAGAACAGCTGTTAGACAAAATACAAAATTTTTAACGGAATATTGTATTTTAATCATCTATTCTCTTGAAATGAAAAATGAGTGCAAGACAAATTGTAAATTATTTTGTAGATTAAAATCATATTCATCTCTGAGTTATACTTTTACCTTTGAAATGAAGAACGAATAATGAACAAAATACAAACTAATTTACTAAATTTATCTATCCTAATCATTTCCGAGTCATTTATATTCTCTAGAAATGAGGAATTAATGTAACACAAGGTAAGAAGTTTTTATTGAATTAATGAAAAAAAAAGTATGGTTAAAAATATCAGAATGTGGTAAAGTTTATTTTGTATTTCTGACTCGAAAAGAACATGAAAAAGCTCAGTAATACTTACCGAAGCGCTTTGGTAATGGCTTTAGTAAAAGTAACAATAAAATATGGTTTTATAATATGTGATAAAATTTGATGAATGCTGTAAAATTTAATAATTTTATCATGATACATTAGAACGCGGAGGAAAAGTTTTAAGTTTGGTATTTTTTACTCAATATGCTGTAATAAGAACTTTAAAACAAAGTTTCCAGTAAACCGCTACCATTAAAGCGGAAAAATTACCAAATGAATGACTGAAATACAATATCTATCGTGTTTTTTTTTAAACCAGAATTATGTTTTTTTTAACGGAAATGCTAATACTATACAGTACTGTAACTTTACCGGAAATTTTTGCAACTATAATAAGGTGATAAATTGAACCAAGCTTCATTTCAAGTTGAACCATGGTATCGGCCAACAAAATTTATCGTAGTTTAGGTTTCACGATAATACGGTGCAACCTGCAACTGCGCAATTGTTGCAGTAAATTTGCACAATTTTGTAGTTCAATGATCTCAAAATTTCTAACAATGTATAGGTAGGTACAAAGCAATATTGACTTACTATTTCAAATTAATAAGAGCAGTTTCCATTAATTTTAAAACATTTGAATAGTATATTAGAAAAAAAGATTTATAAACTGTTTTTCTATGTTTATGTCGTCAATGTTTTCGAATAAAAAGTCATTCTTAAGCTTACTCGTTTACTACATACTATTACGATTAAAATAGATGCCACAAAGTACCTATTCTGGTAGAATAGCTCCCGAATTTCAGAAAAAAATGAATATAAATCAAAATTAAAAGTTTCCTAAACTAAAAAATATGCTTCATCAAGTAGCTACCTTGTCTTTTCAAATAGGTTCAAAATTACAAAGCTACGGTGTTGATCTTTGATTTAAAAAAAAAATTATAAATTGACTTTTCTAAACTAAATTTTTATAAAAGTTATTAATGTCAACTCACAATCGTTTTTTAGACATTTCGCCTATGATTAAAATCAGATGTATTTGGTAAATAATCATTTCCAATCACAGCATTTGCATTGCGTGTTTAAAAAATTATTCGGCTTTGTTCTTTTATAATAAATTTTAAACATTATGAATCGAAGCTAAATTGCGAACTATCTTGTGCTCTTTCAGTAACTTGATCTCCAAAAGCTTATATTTAAAATATACGAAGTAAATTAAGTTAAACTCGTGTAGTATAATGAGAGGGATTACAATAGTTAATTTTAAGTAGCAATTTTAATAGTTCCTCTTAAGTAGACTAAATAGTGACTACAACAACAAAACTATCGTTTGCTTAGAACTAAAATCCCATTATAATGGACGGCAGCATTGCAGTAAAAACTCTTACAATAAATAAAGAACTCGCCAAAACAGCCAAGTTTTCCTCCTTAGTTTCTGATAAATCTATTTTATATTAGACTCGACAGTTGCGAAATGGGACATTTCGCCAACATTCATCTTCGAAACTGTAATCGCATCTAAATGTAAAACATTTTGCGAAGTTAAAAAAAAAAGACTTCTGTTTTGGTGAAGAAGTTAGAAATTGGTTAATTATAGTAGTGTTAAATTAGTAAATATATTTAAAAAATGTTTCATGAAATAGTTAAAAAATATTGAACAAAATTAAACTCGAAAAATCGAGAACGTAATAAGCTAAATCTTTAATTAATAGTTATTGTATAAATTGATTTAAATTAACCTTTAATCATGAAATAAATAAACACTCTTAAGTAATACCATAGTAAACAGATTCTTTAAACTTTTTTTTTAATTTAATAGGTTATAATATTTCTTTTACATTACGGTATATTTTAGTACTATTTTTAAATATATGTGTAAACATACACTTTTAAAATTACAAATAATCATTTAAAAGTATTTACAGAATGCTTAGTCCATCAAATAAGTAAAACTCACTCAGAGAAAAAAAATATAGTGAAAACTACCAGAATATGGTAACATTTCTGGGTCTATAGAAATATCAAAGAGAGCGAAAATTTTTACGGACACTCTTTCATAATAGTTGTGGTAAAATTAACAACAAAATATGATTTTATAATGAGTGATAAAATCTGAAAAATGTGGTAAAATCCGGTAGCTTTATCATAATACCTTGGAGCATAACGTAAAAACCATTTAATCAGTCGAATTTACTTTTCAGTTTTGTATTTACACTAGATTATGTGTTAATGAGATCTGTAATTTTAAATACCAGAATTTCCGGGAAACCGTTTCCAAGTGAACAGAAAAATTACCAAATAAATGGTTCAAATACTATATATTTTGGTTTAATTGAGCAGAATTATTTTTTTAACCAGAAATATTATTACTAAACAGTGCTGTAATTTTACCAGAATTTTCTTCTCCGTGCTTTTCTAGTCTTTCCCAGAAAATTATATAGGGATAAATAAAATAATAAGTAAAGTAAAGCATTCCCACGACAGCCCGTAGAGGGCCAGGGGGGTCATGGAAGATAAGGCTCCACAATTTCATGAACAACGGCATGATTGTGGCAAAGCGGTCAGTACTGCGCACAGGCCCTCTTTACTTCCCAGAGCAGTTGGTTCCCATCGAAATGAGGCTGGGTGGGCTTTAGGCTGCGGCTGGGGATCGAACCCTTGCTCTTCACAATGACAACCTCGTGCCTAACCTTTGAGTCTTCGCTGCTCAAAATAATATCAAAAATTAAATTTTTACAAACAGCATTAAATGTTATACTTCTTTTTTATTTTCCTTTGACCCTGTAAGATAAGCTAAGAAATATTTAAATGTATCGACAGCCAGTATTTAGGAGGAGAAAAAACATATATTTAACGACGTGTTTTCGATTTGGTAAGCAGGCTTTCAACAATGGAAGGGAAAATGTCAAATAAAAAAAAACAGGGAAGGATTCGTGTGACATTTTATTTAACAGTGTCCTGTCAGAAATGTCGGTTCGGAAGAGAGCTATGTTGAAACTTTTTGAATGAAATTCTGCCTTGACAAATTTGGTTTTCAAAATAGTTTTAAATGTATACTTTAAAAATTTTCTAATGTTCCTGTCTTATATTTTTATTTCATTGTCTTTTTTATGAAAGACAACGAAATAACTTATTTTCTACGACCTATACAATTTATAGTACTTATGGATCTTAAAATAATCAGAGTTGCAAAATACTTTAACAACGTCTAAAAAATAAATATTTTCACATTTAAAATTTCGGTTTTTTAAGTTGCTTTTAAGTTTAAATCGTAACTTTATTTTTTATTTATTCAATTAAAAATTGCCGAAGGAAATATCTTGTTTAATATTACCGTGTACAATTTTAATTGTGTAAGCTAATATTTAACAAGGGTTTAAGCTACCATATTAAGAATAAATTATCCGACAATTGGGTATACTATAGCCTACGTCACAGGTTGTGTTATTCCTACTAAATTTAACCCATGAACGGCATTTTCTGCGAGCCTAACTTCAAGTCACAAATAAACAAACGAAATGTTTGATCGTTTAAATAGCTGCTCGCCAGATTTTATTGCATTATAATGAAAAGTAATTGATATTCGATTTTTGATTAATAATTGATTTATGTGGATAGTGGCATTTATGTGGATAGTGGCATAGAATTTAGCATTGCGTCATGGTAAATGTTATTCCTACTAAGTAGAAGTAGTTG